TATTTCTGGTATTAAAACCTATTTTCAGATTTTTATAATGCTTTTTACCTCAGTTTCGGGGTTAACTATTTGCCCATAGCTGGGACCCTAGCAGGTGCTACCACCTCGGATCAGGGTGGACCGGGGAACACCAGCTTCTCAAAACCTCCTGAACAGAGACCTTGCTGTTGGACGTAGTTTAACGTCTTTCCCAGGACTGGGAGATAAAAGACATCAGCAAAGGGAATTTTAAATTTAAAACATTTTATTCCTGTCGACGTGTACATTTCTGACTAGCCTGAGGGATCGCTCTCTCATCCCATTAGGGAGAAGATCTAGAGACGAAAGAACCCGTCTATATTGTTCGACGTGTAAGAGCTAACTTCCCGAAAAACCTTTCCTTATCAATCATTCCTACGTTAGTTCAACAATTCAGAATCGACTTCCCTTATTTTTTCTTGTACCTGACCTCAAAGGTCGAACTGAGGAAGTCAGAGCAGAAATACACTTCTCTAAAAAAAGAAAAAATAGTCTGATAAACTATTATTTAAAACACATAGGTTTAGTTTGCACTAAAATCACATGTGCGCACTAGAAAGCGATTGAAGAAGAAACGAGAAAAGAAAAAACTGGTGAAGAAGAAGTCTTAGAAGAAAAATGGCCAAAGGAGAAGAAGAAGAAGGCGATTGAAGAGAAAAGGAAAGAAAAGAGCGACTGTAGAAAAAGAAAAAGAAGAAAGAAAAAGCGATTGAAAAGAGAAAAAAAAAAAAAAACGAACGAAGAAAAAGAAAAGCGATAGAAAAGAAGAAGAAGAAGGAGGAGGAGGAAAGAGACGACTGAAGAAGAAGAAAAGGTCGAAGAAGAAAAGAAAAAAAGGAGGAGGAGGAGGAGGAGGAAGAACGACTGAAAGAAGAAGAAAGCGGTCGAAGAAGAAGAAGAAGAAGGAGGAGGAGGAGGGGGAGGAGGTGGAGGAAGAGACGACTGAAGAAGAAGAAAGCGGTCGAAGAAGAAAAGAAGAAGAAGAAGAAGAAGAAAAAGAAGGAGGAGGAGGAGGAGGAGGAGGAAGAGACGACGACGGTGAAGAAGAAGAAAGAAGAAGGAGGAAGAAGACGAGAAGAAGAAAAGAAGAAGAAGAGGAGGAGGGGAGGGGGGTGGAGGAAGAGACGACTGAAGAAGAAGAAAGCGGTCGAAGAAGAAGAAGAAGAAGAAGAAGGAGGAGGAAGGAAGAGACGACTGAAGAAGAAGAAAGGAGGAAAAGGAGGAAGGAAGGAGGAGGAGGAGACGGAAAAGAAGAAAGCGGTCGAACTGAAGAGGAGGAGGAGGAGACGCCTGAAGAAAAGGGTCGAAGAAGAAAAGAAGAAGAAGAAGGAGGGGAGGAGGAGGAGACGATTGAAAAAGAAGAAAGCGGTTGAAGAAAAAAGAAGAAGAAGGAGGAGGAAGAAGAAGAAGAATAAGGAAGGAAGGAAGGGGAGGAGGAGGGAGGAGGAGGAGGAGGAGGAAGAGACGACTGAAGAAGAAGAAAGCGGTCGAAGAAGAAAAGAAGAAGAAGAAAGGGAGGAGGAGGAGACGATTGAAAAGGAAAGGAGAAGAAGAAAAGAAGAAGAAGGAGGAAGAGGAGGAGAAAAGAAGAAGAAAAGAAAAGAAGAAAAGAAGAAGAAGAAGAAGAAGAAGAAGGAGGAGGAGGAGACGATTGAAAAAGAAGAAAGCGGTCGAAGAAGAAAAGAAGAAGAAGGAGGAGGAGGAGGAGACGCCTGAAGAAGAAGAAAGCGGTCGAAGAAGAAGAAGAAGAAGCAACCGAAAAAGAAGCAGCAGAAGGTGATTGAAGAAGAAACGAGAAAAGAAAAAAACTAGTGAAGAAAAAGACTTAGAAGAAGAAAGGGACCAAAGAAGAAGAAAAACAAAAAAAAAGGTCACATGCGTGCACATAGATACGGTTTATATAAGAATAAAAACAGACACATGTCTTGTTTACACAAGTCCTGTTAATGCTTGAATAAAAAGACAGACATCGGGTCTGGTTTACGTTAGTGTCAAACACGTACACAGAGGATCAGTTTAATTATAATCCCATGTGTAGACATAGTTACGGTTTATACAAAAAATAGATATATATCTACCTTAAACTAGAGTCAAAAGATAGACCCGGCTTACAGCAAAAGGAACCTACAGGTCAAGTCGTTAGTCATAACAGAAAAATGATCCGTTTCTATACAGGAAACATTCGGCACTACACGTATACTTGAATTCACATGACTTGGTTATGTGCTTTGCTTTCAGTGGACTACGTTTGACTTCGACGTAGTACATTAAAGAGTAAACACTGAAGTCAACCCACCCAACTGATTATATTACAATCGAATTGCAATTGTTAAATTTGTACAGGATGAATGATCCGCTGTTTAGGCTGAGTTTTTGGTATTTCGTTCGGTTAAATTAATTCACAACATCTTCTATTTATTATATACTCCCGTTATACAATAACGTTTATAACGGAGAAGAATATATAGAAATGTAAACTTCGAAATAGATTAAGCTAAAATGTTTTTATGTTATAATGTAGTTGAGTACCGAACACGTATGCAATTTGTTTGAACTTGATAGCCATTTTTATGTTTCTTCATTAGTATCTATCTATCTATCTATCGATCCATCTATGTTAGTTCCTCTTAACATCTATCTATGTTAGTTTCTCTTCATATCTATCTATCTATCTATCTATCTATCTATCTATCTATCTATCTATCTATCTATCTCAGTTCATCTATTCTATCTATCTATCTATCTATCTATCTATCTATCTATCTATCTATCTATCTATCTATGTGAGTCCCTCTTAACTATCTATCTATCTATCTATCTATCTATCTATCTATATTAATTCCTCTATCTATCTATCTATCTATCTATCATATCTATCTATCTATCTATCTATCTATCTATCTGTCTCTGAGTTCCTATCCTATCTAACATCTATCTCTATCTATCTAACATCTATCTATCTATCTATCTATCTATCTATCTATCTATCTATCTATCGATCCATCTATATTATCTATCTATCTTCTATCTATCTATCTATCATCTATCTATGTTAGTTTCTTCTCTATTCTATCTATCATCATCTATCTATCTATCTATCTATCCATCTATCTATCCATCTATCTCTTAACATCTATCTATGTTGTTTTCTCTTCATATCTATCTATCTATATCTATCTATCTATCTATCTATCTATCTATCTATCTGAGTCCTGTTAACATCTATCATCCATCATCTATCTATCTATCTATCTATCTATATCTATCTATCTGATCTATCTATTCATCTATCTATCTATATTAATTCATCTATCTATCTATATTAATTCATCTATCTATCTATCTATCTATCTATCTATCTATCTATCTATCTATGTGAGTTCCTCTTAACATCTCTCTATCTATCTATCTATCTATCTATCTATCTATCTATCTATCTATCTATCTATCTATCCATCTATGTTAGTTCCTCTTAACATCTATCTATGTTAGTTTCTCTTCATATCTATCTATCTATCTATCTATCTATCTATCTATCTATCTATCTATCTATCTATCTATCTATCTCATCTATCTATCTTGTTATTCTTAACATCTATCTATTTATTTACATCTATCTATCTATCTATCTATCTATCTATCTATCTATGTGAGTCCCTCTTAACATCTATCTATCTATCTATCTATCTATCTATCTATCTATCTATCTATCTATCTATCTATCTATATTAATTCATCTATCTATCTATCTATCTATCTATCTATCTATCTATCTATCTATCTATCTATGTGAGTTCCTCTTAACATCTCTCTATCTATCTATCTATCTATCTATCTATCTATCTATCTATCTATCTATCTATGTTAATTCCTCTTGATATCTATCTATCTATCTATGTGAGTTCCGCTTAACATCTATCTATCTATCTATGTTAGTCCTCTTAACATATATCTATCTATGTTAGTTCCTCTCTATCTATCTATCTATCTATCTATCTATCTATCTATCTATCTATCTATGTTAGTTCCTCTTCATATCTATCTATCTTAGTTATTCTTAACATCTTTCTATCTTAGTTTCTTTTTACATCTATCTATCTATCTATCTATCTATCTATCTATCTATCTATCTATCTATGTTAGTTCCTCTTAACATCTATCTATCTATGTTAGTTTCTCTTCATATCTATCTATCTATCTATCTATCTATCTATCTATCTATCTATCTCAGTCTCTGTTGATATCTATCTATCTATCTATCTATCTATCTATCTATTATCTATCTATGTGAGTCCCTCTTAACATCTATCTATCTATCTATCTATCTATCTATCTATCTATCTATCTATCTATGTTAGTTCCTCTTCATATCTATCTATCTATCTATCTATCTATCTATCTATCTATCTTAGTTATTCTTAACATCTTTCTATCTTAGTTACTCTTTACATCTATCTACCTATCTATCTTTCTTAGTTTCTTTTTACGTCTATCTATCTATCTATCTATCTATCTATCTATCTATCTATCTATCTATCTGTTTATATACCTGTTTATATCAAAGTTTACCCACCCATTTATCTATTTGAGTCGGATGAAATACATTTTGATGATAGACCATGAGTTCAAAAGAAAGGTACATACAATTAGGGGCCGATACAGCTCTCTACACCACGGCTCCTTGATTCTTGAACCATGAATCATGCTTCCCAAGAAAGATCTTCCTGACGATTCCATCTGCCTACGCGTTCGCTGGTCCGACCATGTGTCTTTGAGTACTTTCTTTTTCGAATGCCTTATTGATTGTCAGCCGTCCAAAAGAGGGACGAACCATTTAGCTTTGTATCTTTATTCAAATGATTGTCCAGAAATCGAGAAGAGACATCGCTGGGATAAACGCATTTGGTTAGCTTCACTGAACAAGCGGCCAAAAGAAACGACCACTGGTCATGGTATTAGCCTTCGCTGGGATTAGACATACGCTAAGCAGTAAGGAGAAGAAGAAGAAGAAGAAAAAGAAGAAGAAGAAGAAGGGGAGGCGAAGAAAAAGGAAGAGGGGAAGAAGAATAAAATAAAGAAGAAGAAAAAAGAGGAGAAGGAGGAAGAGGAGGAGAAGAAGGGGAGAAGAAAAAGGAAGAGGAGGAGAAAATTAAAATGAAGAAGAAAAAGGAGGAGGAAGAGGAGCAGAAGAATAAAAATGTGTACGAAGATAAAGAAGAAGAAGAAGAAGAAAGCAACCGAAAAAGATGAAGGGAAAAGCGTCGGAAAAAGAAGCAGAAGGCGGTTGATGAAGAAATGAAAAAAAACTGGTTAAGAAGAAGACGCAGAAGAGTGGCCACAGAGGAAGAAAAAGAAGAAAAAAAGAAGGAGATTGAAGAGGAAAGGAAAGAACTATTGAAGAAGAAGAAGAAGATAATGATTGAAAAAGAAGGAAGAAAAGAAAAAAGCGACTGAAAAAGAAGAAGGAAAAAGAAAGAAAAAGCGGCGGAAAAAGAAGGAACAGAAAGCAATAGATGAAGACGGAACAAAAGAAAATAGCGACTGAGTAGAAGAAAGTGGCTAAAAGAAAAAGAAGAAAAAGGTGACTGAAGAAGAAGAAGAAGAAGAAGAAGACGTAGAATAAATAGAAGTAGGCGATTGAAAAAGAAGGAAAAAAGAAAACAGCGACTGAAGAAGAAGAAGACGGCTGTTGAATGAGAAGGCAGGGAATAGAGCGACTGAAGAATAAGTAGAAGAAGAAAACGGCTAAAGAAGAAGTAGAAAGTGACTGAAGAAGATGAAAAAGAAGTGAAAAAAGAAAAAGAAAGAAATAAAGAAGAAAGCGACTGAAGAAGAGGAAGACGAAAAAGAAAGAGCCTGTAAAAGAAGATGAAGGCGATTGAAGAAGAAAGAAGAAAAATGAAAGCGACTGAAGAAGAAGAAGAAGAAGAAGAAGAAGAAGAAGAAGAAGAAGAAGAAGAAGAAGAAGAATGGGGGAAAATGAGAAATAGGCTGGAGAAAAGAGATAAAAGCGGTTGAAGAAATAGAAAAGAAAAAAGAAAAGGAAGTTTATTGAAGAAGGAATAAAAGAAGAAAGAAGAAGAAGAAGAAGAAGAAGAAGAAGAAGAAGAAGAAGAAGAAGAAGAAGAAGAATGGGGGAAAATGAGAAATAGACTGGAGAAAAGAGATAAAAGCGGTTGAAGAAATAGAAAAGAAAAAAGAAAAGGAAGTTTATTGAAGAAGGAATAAAAGAAGAAAGAAGAAGAAGAAGAAGAAGAAGAAGAAGAAGAAGAATGGGGGAAAATGAGAAATAGACTGGAGAAAAGAGATAAAAGCGGTTGAAGAAATAGAAAAGAAAAAAGAAAAGGAAGTTTATTGAAGAAGGAATAAAAGAAGAAAGAAGAAGAAGAAGAAGAAGAAGAATGGGGGAAAATGAGAAATAGACTGGAGAAAAGAGATAAAAGCGGTTGAAGAAATAGAAAAGAAAAAAGAAAAGGAAGTTTATTGAAGAAGGAATAAAAGAAGAAAGTTGTTGAAGAAGAAGAAGAAGAAGAAGAAGAAGAAGAAGAAGAATGGGGAAAATGAGAAATAGGCTGGAGAAAAAGAGATAAAAGCGGTTGAAGAAATAGAAAAAAAAAAGAAAAAGGAAGTTTATTGAAGAAGGAATAAAAGAAGAAAGTGGCTGAAGAAGAAGAAGAAGAAGAAGAAGAAGAAGAAGAAGAAGAAGAATGGGGAAAATGAGAAATAGGCTGGAGAAAAGAGATAAAAGCGGTTGAAGAAATAGAAAAAAAAAAAAGAAAAGGAAGTTTATTGAAGAAGGGATAAAAGAAGAAAGTGGCTGAAGAAGAAGAAGAAGAAGAAGAAGAAGAAGAAGAAGAAGAAGAAGAATGGGGAAAATGAGAAATAGGCTGGAGAAAAGAGATAAAAGCGGTTGAAGAAATAGAAAAGAAAAAAAGAAAAGGAAGTTTATTGAAGAAGGAATAAAGAAGAAAAAGAAGAAAAGAAGAAGAAGAAGAAGAAGAAGAAGAAGAAGAAGAAGAAGAATGGGGAAAATGAGAAATAGACTGGAGAAAAAGAGATAAAAGCGGTTGAAGAAATAGAAAAGAAAAAAGAAAAGGAAGTTTATTGAAGAAGGAATAGAAGAAGAAGAAGAAGAAGAAGAAGAAGAAGAAGAAGAAGAAGAAGAAGAATGGGGGAAAATGAGAAATAGGCTGGAGAAAAGAGATAAAAGCGGTTGAAGAAATAGAAAAGAAAAAAGAAAAGGAAGTTTATTGAAGAAGGAATAAAAGAAGAAAGTGGTTGAAGAAGAAGAAGAAGAAGAAGAAGAAGAATGGGGGAAAATGAGAAATAGACTGGAGAAAAGAGATAAAAGCGGTTGAAGAAATAGAAAAGAAAAAAGAAAAGGAAGTTTATTGAAGAAGGAATAAAAAAGAAAGAAGAAAGAAGAAGAAGAAGAAGAAGAAGAAGAAGAATGGGGAAAATGAGAAATAGACTGGAGAAAAGAGATAAAAGCGGTTGAAGAAATAGAAAAGAAAAAAGAAAAGGAAGTTTATTGAAGAAGGAATAAAAGAAGAAGAAGAAGAAGAAGAAGAAGAAGAAGAAGAAGAAGAAGAAGAAGAAGAAAACGAATAAAAAAGAAGGCAGAAACAAAGAAAGCGACTGAAGAAGAAAAACAGAGAAAGCGAATGAAGAAGGAAGAAGAAGAAAGCGGCCGGAGAAAGAAAAAAAAAAGAAAATGAAGCAATGTCATGGAAATAACTTGATGTTTTCGAGGTGGTGTCTAAAATGGCCATTTTTTATTTAAGAAGACGTTCTTGCTACAAAATACTTCTCCTTCGACAGACATATGAAAAATATGGATATAAAGGAAATATGAAAATAGTACAGAGCGTTAACGCCTAACAAAACACGTAGGTTAGTAACTTCTTTTAGTTTAATGCAATTAAAAGCTAGCAATATTTTGTAAACAAAATGCTCGATATTAAATAATAGTGCATTAATACATAAAAAAAAACAACGTTCAAACGATTTATGTATTGGACTTTTCGCGGCTACATTGTTCATTATATGAAGAGCGTACATTACAGATAGATAGATAGATAGATATGAAGAGAATTTTCTTTTTTCAACCACTTTCTTCTTCTTCCTTCTTTAAATGCAATGCCAATCGTTATCTACTGTCTTCCTGATTACTCTTCTATTGTTCTCACTCAATTTTCACTTGTGGAACTCTTTTCCGGCTTCTTGCTTTCCTCTCAACTTTGATCTTCAAAAATTGAAACGCAATGTCAATCGTTATCTACTGTCTTCCTGATTACTCTTCTATTGTTCTCACTCAATTTTCGCTTGTGGAACTCTCTTCCGGCTTCTTGCTTTCCTGTCAACTTTGATCTTCAAAAATTTAAATGCAATGTCAATCGTTATCTACTGTTTTCCTGATTACTCTTCTATTGTTCTCACTACTTGATAATGTTTTTCTCTTTCGTATATTCTTTTACACTCAGTAACAACCCCCTTGCGTATTAGTGTTTTTGATGCCTTGATTGGGATGAAATGATTAAGAAATATTCATATATATATATATATATATATATATATATATATATATATATATATAAAAGTGAATATTGAAGTCAACACTCTAGCGTGAAACAGCCTGTCGCCTCTGAGTGCTGACTTCAATGTTCACTTTATATTATATTTACATACGTTCTATTATTGAGCACTTTATCCCGTAAATATAGCAAACATTAAAACTATATTTCTTCATATATATGTGTGTGTGTGTGATTAATATATATATATATATATATATATATATATATATATATATATATATATATATATATATATATATATATATATATATATATATATATATATTAAGAAATGGACAAAAGTCCGACAATTTATTTATTAAAGACATTTTTTATGCCATAGAAAATATTCGTCCGTATAGGATGCAGGTTCGAATCCTGTCAAAGGACGAATATTTTCTATGAAAATTTCTCGGACATTCAGGCCGGTAAATGTTATTTAATACTGTTTATTATAAACAGAGCATTTACTTAAATACTTGTATCTATAAAAAGAATGTTATAAAATCATATTTGGTGGCTGTCACAGCAACCATTGTCAATGGACAACCCTAGCTGGGAACCGTGATGCCTGGCGTCTCATCACCAACCATGCTGTCTCGTTCTTTAAAAATAACCGCAGGGTCGCTCTCGGGTACAAAACGCAGAGGAGGAAGTACTGCAACGCTATACAATCGAGCCCAGTTCGGACTTTCAGCTGTAACTGCTGTGACCATGTACGCCTGTCTGGCATTGGACTTATTTGTCACAATCGTGCTTGCAAGAGACGTGGACAGACTCCCGCTTGGTCATTATTCTCTGAAGCCTAACCATGAGGATGATGATAAAAATATATTATCTAATACCCGATTCCAGTTTCCGTATGAAATTCTATTGAATATTTTATTCTGGCAACGTTCCCTCCAATAAGAACATCATCAGGTTTATGGTAAAAAGAGAAATGTAGCATCTACTTCATGTATATATATATATATATATATATATATATATATATATATATATATATATATACTAGCAGTAGAGCCCGGCGTTGCCCGGGGATGTAACAGTAAGAGACAGATCAAGTATCAACCATCATAAAGACTGAAAAATAAAATTGACAAAGATTATTGTTTAAGGTTGACGGACACGCATGTCTTAATTAGTTTTTTTTTTTTTTACGAATTGGTCAAACCTGAAACTCAAATAAAAAACATTGTTTTCAATCATTATGAGTCTACCGATTGAATAGAATTTTTTTTATAAACAATTGTCTTGTAAATGGAATATTTAAAGCATTCTGAATGTAAAAATAAAGAAAAAAGTGTGCAAGACAATAAGAAACACTACCTGCTAAAATAAAGTGAAGTTTTGTTGAAATTGGTTGAAAAATATAGGAAATCCGATCCCATATATAAATGAACACACAGACACAAAAACAACCTGGCTTTTATAAGTATAAATCGATATGAGTTGTCCCCCTTTCATTCTCGCGATTAATCGTGTTTTCAAATTGATTTCGTGCAAAAACAATTGTGTTTTTCCAACTTTTGGCGCTATTAGAACCACCGCAAGGTAATTTTGCGTAGTCCTGTGAAGTTTCGTTGAAATCAGTTGAAAAAATGTAGGAAATCCGATCCCATATATAAACGTACACACACACACACACACACACACACACACACACACACACACACACACACACACAATCTGGTTTTTAATAATAAATATATATATATATATATATATATATATATATATATATATATATATATATATATATATCTCAAACACTAATATTCCATGGTTATAATTAATTACATTGAAATCGTAATCACGATCAATTCCTTAGACCTACAAATTCAAAAGTTTTTAAATTTGTAGGTCTGATGATTTGGATCGTTATTTGATTCCAATGTAATAAATTATAACCATGAAATATTAATGTTTGAGCCTTTATATATTATATTCTTACTCTGTCTTGGATATTGAGTTCTACCTGGATTTTATCCTCTTGAAATTTATATATATATATATATATATATATATATATATATATATATATATATATATATATATATATATATTGACCACGAATATTATCTATCTATCTATCTATTTAAAAGATATGTTTTGTGGTACAAAACGTTATGACTGCCATGAAAAGACAAAATTTATTTTTATTACCACTCATGAAGATAATAGATTAAAAGTAAAACTGAAAAACGGGCGAGCTAACCGGTTTCGAACCTCGCTCAACAGAGTTAAAGCGAGGTTAATAAATTATAATAGAATCATCACTAAAAAAAGTGGACAATATGTATTGAAATATATATATATATATATATATATATATATATATATATATATATATATATAATGCTTAGATGGAAATTAGTTGGAGGCCCAATACGAAGTCATTCTGTTTACACATAAAGGGCTTCAACGATAAAATATAAATGGCCTCCAACACTTTCAAGAGGTAATTCGAATGGGGCTTTCTAAGAATGGTAAATGAGTCCTAACTGAAACTAGTAACACAATTATGGCTATTTATTAGGTGTTCTGCGATGGAAGACCCGGATGTATTGGTAAGAATGTCTGAAGAAGGGCACTTAAGATTGCGGATTTTCGTTGGAACGTGTTGCTTTATTCTGACATGCAGCCTTTGAGTCGTTCTCCCTATGTAGTGAGAACCACAGCTATATTTAAAGAAATAAATCAAAGAACTATTATGATGTGGAGGTAGAACGTCCTTACGCATGCACTGAAGGACAGGCTTGGCAGAGAAAACCATACGAGTGTTAGCAGCATATATATATATATATATATATATATATATATATATAAGTAACGAAAATCTTGGTAATCCGTATGGATAATCCCAAGGAGGATGAAATCCAAAGAGATCAATGTTAAGTCAAAGCGAATAATTTGATTTAAAGAAAAACTGACCACATTAAGGCTCCATTTGTAATAATTTATTTTACCAGAGAATTTTCTTTTTCTCTGGATCTTCAGACTTCACTTTCAAAAGGTGAAACGAAAAATGAATTTAGATTTTAAACTTTTGACCTGCAGTATGAAGCTTATATAAGTTGACATAGAAGATGGTGAGAAATGGCGTGAGAGACATGGTCGAGTTTAGAGAGGGAAGGGAGAGTTTTAAAATTTCTTTTTATATTTCTTTTTGTTATAATAATTAATATTGTGGAAAGAGGAGGTAGGGATCAGACATTAACCAAATGGTATGCTGGCTATATATATATATATATATATATATATATATATATATATATATATATATTTGGTAATCATTTTAATCTTAAACATAGGTTATGGAACACCAAAGACGTGTCTCTCAGAGTAAAGATCGACATATACATAATCAGTTCACAACCCTTCTCTGTGGTACTGAATCTTGGACCCTATACAGCAAGCACATAAATCAAGTTGACGCCTTTCTCACGCGCTGCCTTTGTGCCATGTGTGATATAAAATGGGATGACAGGGTCAAGAATAGTGCAGTACTGAAGAAATGTAACAACATCCCAGGCATTGAAACCATTCTAGCAAAGATACAACTTATGTGGGATGGTCATGTTGTGAAAATGGATGAACATAAGCTTCCAAAGAAGGTGCCGTATGGACAAATACCAAAGTCTAAGCGTTCAGATGGACGGCTTCTCTTACGCTACAAAGACAGATTGAAAAACAACTTGAAACGTCTCAATTTTGATCTGAAAACCTGGGTAACCCAAGCATCAAACCGAAAACAGTGGCGAAAGACATGTTTCATTAATTTAAAGGATTTTAAAGACAGAAGACTGAAGCACCGTGATCAGCTTCGTCAAGCTCTGAATCAGAGACGCCATCAAGATCTGTCAATGTAGCTTTGTCGTCCGTAGTTCGGCTGGGCTGGTATCA